AGCACAGGTACAATTTTAGCCTCATTTTGTACATATAGGGAGTTGAATAATTTGCCTGTGGTTTCATAGCAAGGAAGCAGGAGCCAGGAATCAAACCCATACAGTCTGGTCCCACGGCCAGGCTCGTAACTATAACCACAAGGCCATTCTTTTCCTCATTACGATGGGTTTTATCTGTCTTCGTTTTGTTTTTTTTTTAAAGTACTGTAAGCCATTCTCTTTAAGAAGCAGCACTCCCAACTTCCCTCCCTACAATAAAGAGCCTAAAGAGCCATCTTCTCCAGTCGAGACCTCGGGGCCTCCCCGTGATGGACGGAGCAGGGAAGCCTCTTCCCAGCCCACCCGCACTGTTCTCACAGCTTACTCCCATGGGATTCTTCTGCCACTAGGTATTTGGAAGAGAGCTGTGTCTGTACAAACTAAAGCATTCCCGATGCTTTTCTTTCACAGTAAGCTTACAAAAGATTAAATAATACTATGAATGGTTCTAGCATCCTCCCCTACTTTGGAGCTGGTTTGCATATGAAACTTTCTGAGTGAATCTGCAGGGAGAGTCAGTTTTAAATAACACTGGCCTGCATCTTACCTGCATTCTTATTTAATTTATCAAAGAATTTTAGAATAGCAAGCTAGAACTCTCCTCTGCCAACCACATTTGTGCGTTTGTTTTTAACACAATAGGCTTTGCTTCAAGACCACTATTCCTGGGGCCTACAGTTGCCATCCATCTGCAGGGCTGGTATGAGCTTTTCACTTCCTCGTCAACCACACCGTCCCAAGAGCGTCACCCAGGCTCTCCGACCCCCCCAGTTCATCCGCGGCACGCCACCTCACAGGCTCCCGGCATTGGAACCCACGGCCGGCTAGAGGGCAGTGGGACCTCAGCAGGAGGCGCAGCACCATTCCTCCGTTACTGTGCAGCAGAGCCGCGGCCCACTCCCCAAGCGGCCTGGTTCTCCTTCCAGGTGCACCACTAAGTGGGAGTCCCCAGCCTCCCCGCCCTGCCTCTCAGGTTGGGACACTCGGATGGACCCACTAGGAAAAAAGAACCATGCTACTCCATTCTGCAGGTCCTTGGGGACAAAGTCTACAGACGGCAGCAACACAAGACAGGGGAGGGCGAAGGTCCTGAGCGATGACGTGGGCACGGCCGCCACCTCCATCCCCTCCACTGACCTGCACAGAACTAAGGAAAACAAACCTTTAATGGAAGGAGCCACTGAAATTTGTCGGTAGTTTTTTTACTAGCCTATCCTAATATATCACTCATCCCCAAAAAATGACCTCATGTCCTTATTTGATGGGATCACAACACTACATGTAAATCACCCAAGTGGTATAATTAAAAACTATGGCTAAAAGATTGCATTTATGCACTTTTGTGTCGTGAAAATGCATGAACCCTAGATTCATGGGCAAAAACAATTCCTGGAGATCCAAGTTAGACTACAAACCACATTTTACTATTCAGTCAATTAACACCCATTCACATGCAAAAGTGCACTGTTACATTTATCCACCAAGAACCCACAAGGGATTTTTTTCTAAAAACTCTAAATTTAAATTTGAAGTTTGTACAGTTTGCTCCCAAGTCTGGAGTACTGCCTCACAGAGCCGGAAGGAGTCTTACTTTAGAATCCAACTCCAACCTGAGAGCAGGCTCAAAATCTCCCACTGAACATGGGCCATCTCTCTGCCTGGCCTCCTTGGCACTATCACTAAAGCAGCAGAGAAGACAATGAGCTTTCGGCATCAGGGCACCCCTGAGCTCTGTCGGTCAACAGTGGCACCGAGGTCCTGTGAAGGGATGCTCGTGCTGAGGTGGGGTGGGGTGTTCTGAGCCATCAGTGACAGGCAGCTTCTAGGAACAAAGTTGGAAAATCATTAACCAACAAATCCAAGTGGAGGGAATATAAATTTTCACTGCAATATTTTTTATACTTGCATGTTTGAAAATTTTTGTAATAAAAAAAAAGGGGCCTTTAACATGTTTCAAGTGTCAGCTGATTTCAGCGTCAGCTTTCCAGCATGAATTTGGATGCCCGTGCCTCTGCCCCAAGAGTCCCTGACTGCATATGCCCTTCTCAATCTCCTCAACTGCTGGGATCCTTCTGGATCATTATTCTGTCTTCCCAAAATGCCCAACTGAGATCAGCACACTCGCAAAGATCAGTCATTTATAAAAGCCCAGAACAGCACGGGGCCAGAAGAGGTAAAGACAAAGGTCGGAGGAGACATGGATGACAAAAGCCGGCCACAGCAGAGCAGCCCAGTCGGCAGGGAGTCCAGGAGAACAGGGCCCCTGCCTAAGAAGCAGGCTGCATTTCCCAGGGAACAGGACACAGAGTAGAGGGGCACACTTCAGAAAGGGCCTCCTAAAAGCTTGGAAGATGTGAGGATGACGCAAGAAAGGTGGAGAATCTGGGGAGAGAGGTGGAGCACTTAATCCAGATGGGAGACGTAACCTAAGGCCACATCCAAATCCGATTCACGTCATCCCCCTGCTTAAAGGCCTTGGGACTTCACACTGGATTCGAGATAAAAGTCCACCTCTTCTGCAGAACATACAAGCTCTTGACAATGCGCTCCTTCCTAGGGTCATCCTTAGCCACATCGGAATACATAGCTCAGGCCTGCTCACCAAAGCTACCCAAATTCATGCCTTGGCATGAGCTGTTCCCTGTGCCATGAAAACCCACCCCCACATCCACCCCACTTCCGCACCTGGCTGGCTCCCCCCTGTCCCGGTGCTCACCTAAGCAGCACTCCTCTCCTCCAACTGCCTCCATCCTCCCGGCTGCCCAGACCCCAGGCCACAGGCCTCGGCACCTCCCCGCCAAGGCACAGGGCAGTGGGCCTGCCTGGAAGTGCGAGTCCAGCACCCGCAGTGCCTGCTCTCCAGGCTTCCCTCTCCTTCCCTCGCTGCCTCTGGCTGGCAAACTGCGGAAGCACTCAGCCATCACCCATTCCCAGGCCTTTCAGGGCCTAGGCAAACAGGTACTAATAAAATGTGGGGAATGAGTCAACTGAGAACATGACAACCATCCCAAGGGCCAGCAAAGAGCTTCTAACATGAGACCAGAGCACAGGTGGAGTGAAGCGGGCAGAAGGTGACAGGGGCACCTGTGAGCAGCGGGGACCAAGGGCAGATGTGGCCTCAGCAGTAACAGGTCCTGATCTAAGGCCATCCCATCTGCTCTGCCCCAGACTCCTCCAGGCTGGCTCCGGAGGCAGTTCATTCAGGCTCGGAGCTGATCACCAGTCCCCTGACCTCCTTCACCTCCAGGGCATGAGCTTCAGGAACACACTCCACACGCCAGGCCCAGCTGCCTCTCTCAGTCCCCGCGGCGAGCCAGAGACGAACCTGCTCCATGACCAAACACTCAGAGCTCTGCCACAGAAGCATACTAAGTAAGCAGGGCCCGAACAACCCTGGGGGGATGCCATGAGCGAGGGCCAGCGGAGTGCACAGGACAGGACCCTACAGGGCCCTGGGGTCGTGGCCCTTTGAGGATGACGGGGCCCCATCACTTCTCTACAGATGCAGGCTCTGTCCAGGACCTTCAAGCCATAACAGCAGCAGAGGTCTCTGAAATGCCAGTGCACTACGACTTCAAGGTAGCTTCCCCTAATAGCTCAGATGAACCAAACATCCCTCTTCAACTTGCCTGCTACCTCCTGAGATCCCCACATCCACCCTCTACCACAGGGCCCCCATTTGCAAAAAGGGCCACCTCGAAACTTACTTCATCAAAGAAGAGTTGTTTAGTGACAGTCCATTCCAAGCCGGTGAGCAGCCCTGCCCCGCAGGATCTGGTCGTGCTTTGGTGTGAACCACAGTTCAGGACAGAAATGTTTTCCCAGCCCAGTGCTGGGCCCAGTCCCAAAACACAGAGCAGAGGAAAATGGAGGCAGAATGTGTGTGTCGCTGGCGGGGTCAGGGGCTCCCACTCACTGACACAGTAGAACCCAGTCTGGGGACTAGAGCGGCCATAGAGAAGGAGAACAGGGAGCGCTCCACGCAGCACTCCACGTCACTGGTGACACGCGCCCTCACCACAAGGGGCGTGGACTGAGCCCCGAGGCACACTCACTCACCTGCGGTCCTATTGCACTCAAAGTTTATGACGCTCATCCGCTGGAAGCCTGAGCTGCATTCATCGCCTCCAGAATATATCAAGGTGAGGTCTCCATCAGAGTATCTAAATTTGTGTAATAGATCACACAATTTGATAAAACCAGAAAGAAACTGGAATTGTTTAACATTTCTCCATTAAGCCTTTTGCATACCATCAACAAATCGGTACTGACATAAAACAGCAAGCTCTCTGGCCAGCTGGGGAAAAACCATCTAAAGGAAACGAGTTCCAGAGCACAGGCTTGGGGTCCTCCTACTTCAAAGCAAGAGCTGGCTGGAAGAAAGGGCCAAAGGTCTAGCTGCGAACATGGAGACTCTTCTCTCATTTCTAGAGTTTGTGTAAAATAAATAATGCCCAAGAAGCACCCAGCTTATCCTACAACTGCCATAAACACAGACCTACCTGAGGGATCCTGGACAATACATACTTACAAAGAGCTACATTATCATAATGCTTTCATGAAGGTTAACTACCAAGCTAAGGGTCAAAAGAATTGCACTGAATGCATTTTCTTAGTTGCTGAAAATTTTATATAACGTTAATGGTGTTTCAGATCCTCAAACTGCCAGAGAAAAAAAAAAATTCCTCAGAAACGTATATTTTAAAATATGAAAGCCGGATCAATGGTACACCAATTACTTTTCCTACAGTATGGCTCCTTACAAACAATAATTATAAAACAATAAATTTTAACAGAGACAGTCTTACCCTAAAGCCAGAATAAACATCCAACAGTTTAGTGACAAATGGCAACTTGCCTAAGTCAAAAAGGAAGATGTGCTGCCTTAACCGATTTTCCTGTACTTTACAGAAAATGGGGCAGGACACTGTAGGGGGCCAGTTCTGGCTCACAAAAATATACACAATACACTTGAAATAATGTGAAGGTTTACACACCGGAGGGTCAGATTCTGATGTTTTCCTGCTACTTTGACTTGAGGAGACTGAGACTTTTTCACTTGGCAGACTGCAGCCTCTTTCTTATTACAGACTTTCACTCCAGTCTCTCCACAGATACTCAAATAAAAAATATATTCCTTTCCGTCTGAGGTATAGTAAGGAAATGGTGATGCTAAAGAAAGAGGAACAGATGAGAAGAGGCTTCTGAAGCATTACTTCAGTCATCCCCAGTCCCTCTTTCTGCCCACCGGCAGGCAGGGGTTAGCTCGGCCCCTCCGTTCACACTCCCCTCCTACTGTTCATAGGGCACCCACTCACCTGTGTCCTGTCTGAGTGGCTGAAGGTCAATGGCAATGTTATGCTGCTCGTTGCTCAGAGAGCAGGTTCCACTCTCCAAATAATCTCTGTGGCAGGCATACTCGGTGATCCACTCAATTTCATAGCGGCAATTGGATTTAGCTGTGAGCTTGGGAATGGTGCCCTGCCAGGACCAGTTTGAAAGAAGCAACAGTAATTTTTTAATGCAAGTTTTCCGTGCCTCTGAAAAGCTCCACGGCTTCCTGTTTCTGAATCATAATTGCCCCTAACATATTTAGATTATCTGACTTGTAACAACTCTGTTTACTTGCAAACCTTTCTGATCCCCTTGCAGACACACTCAACCCTAATCAGTGAGTCCGTCCTGAATTCAACACCTGACAAGCACAATCCTGGCAAGCAGTCATGGTTTTTGATGGGTACGGGGTTGGTTCACTCCTTTCAGTCAGAGGTGCCACTGAGCTGGGGTCAGATCAACCCCCACGGTGGGTGAAATCACCATGCATGTGCACATCTGGGAAGATGGCCCATAACCTCTTTCCTAAGATGGTCAAAGGAGCTTTGGGCACACCTCACCCGCCCTCAAAATCTGCACCTGTCCCTGGGAGAAGCCAGGGCATCACCCACCACAAACCCAAACTCTGCCATTTTTCTGCCAGAGAATCGGTTTTACAGACATGAGCTCTGACCTCGTCTTTGGTTGAACTGGGAAGGATGTCATCACTGCTCACTGAAGTAAAGTCTTATTGGTCTTAGTACCTCAGGAAGAGATGTGCTGCTTCCAGGCACCATCACTCAGCAAATGTCTGCTGAGCATCTGCTCTGTGCCAGGCATGGTGCTAAATGTTGAACTCACAAACCCAGGTCACATGATTAGGAGGCTACAGACCTCCAAGCCCAGCTCCATCTGAATGAATCAAAACCCATGTTTTAACCACTGGATTCAGGGAAGCTGGACATATGTGAAGGCAGCTGGGCACCACGTGAGAGGCCAGTGTACAGTTCACCGACACGAGATGTCCAGAAAAGGCGAATCCAGAGAGAGAAAGCAGACGGGTGGCAGCCAGGGCTCAGGGCTGGGGAAGGAACGGAGAGCGACGCTGGGCACCGGTTTCCTTGGAGGTAATGGAGACAGGCTAACAGCAGATGGTGACAATGGCTACACAATTCTTTAATATCTCAATGACCATTAAATTGGACTTAAAATTTACAGTATGTAAGTTCAATAGCACTTCTTTGAAAAGCTCTATATGATAAGATGAATGCTTACTGAGATTCCAGCTCCTCAAGGCATTCAGTGAGCCAGCTTAACTAAACCTTCAAGTATTAAGGTGTCACACATAGCCCAAGACCTGCCCAGTGAATGCTTCAGAGGAAATGGAACCTCTACCTCTAACAGCAAGTCAGCCTCCCCTTCTAGCACCATGAAGTATGACATATCCCATGAGGAAACAGGAAGGGACGCCCAGTTCCCTTCACTGTGACAGTGTAAGACGATTCTTATTGAATGCAGCACAAGTAGCCAACACTGAAAGCACAGCCAGCTGAGCACGTCTCATCAGGCTCAGGGGATTTCGGTTTGCAGGGGAGGGCCCAAACCCGAGGCGACACTCCCTAGCATTCAGTCAGCACTAACTCAGTCCTGGCCAGCCACGTCTTCATGAGGCTGACGCCACGTATCCCTGGAAGTGTGGGGGCAAAATGGAAAGCGGGTCTGGACTGTACTTTTGTCTACACATCCCCTATACACAAAAAGGGCCGGCTGCCTGCCCGAAACCAGAGCAAATTCCACGTTTGCTTGTCGGGAGAGGGGAATGGTTCCTGGCAAAAGAACTGAGCACCTCCAACCTCATTCTCCGATGAGAAGGCAGAGACAATTGGAGGAAAGCCCGGCCCTTCCTCCCTGGTGCCCTCCCTCTCCCAGCATCACCCGCGCACCTGCTGGAACACACTGCAACAGGAGGACACGTCCAGCGCCGCTGGGCACGGGCCCAAGGACGACACAGACCCAGCCCTACCCTCAGGGTGCTTACAACTGTGCTAGAATTAAGCAGCCAGAAGACAGAATAATCACCCTGCCTGTGAGGGTGAGGGGGGAAGCAGGCAGGGAGGGGTGGCACGCTCCACTGGCAGGCCCTGCTTCTCCTACATCAGAACCCCACACGCTCAGTCCTGCCTACACAGTCTCTGCCAGTTCTGCCTACCATCTGTCCGAGCCATTCCTTACTACGTTTTTATAAACCAATTAGCTATTTTTACCTTTCCTCATCATAAGAAACAAGAGCCACGAAATCACATTATACATATGGCTTTTCAAGTATTCATTCACAATCAGCTTAACTAGAAAAACTTGAAAATCTGTCCACAAACCAGTTAAAACCATCTCACACCACCCTAGAACAAAACACCATTGCACGCTGACATATGTAGGGCCGCCTCCAGGTTGTTGGGTAAAAGCAAATAGCAAGCTGTTCTCCCCAAAGAGCCTCACCTACAGCCCTAAGGCCTGCTTTCTGCAGGAGGCACATCTCCCCAGGAGGCAGTCTTCCCGGATATTCCCCCAAAGCACCTTTTGACTGCTCACCCTCTCCTGCACCCAGACACCACTCCACCCAAACCCAACTTCTGCTCACTCAGGGGTGGAGGAGCATGCACCGCTGGGAAGTCCTCTTCCGACAAGCACTCACCTCTCTGCGCTCAGATGGACAGACAAATGTAATCGTCACTGAGGGGCTGTGGCCATCACAGAAGTCTGGCTTCCCAGCCTCTTCTTTCCCGTAACTCAAGACAAGCCTGGGTGACACACATTGAGAACAGAGTGCTACCAAGGTATAAATTACAGTCAAATTAATCTGTTGCCCTGAACATTCAACACACTCATTCGGAGGAGAAACAAATATTAAAATATAAAAAAAGGCCATAGTACAAAGTAACTGTAAATCATTTCTATTGAAGAAAAATTTAAGGAAACTTTAATGAGTGTTACTTTCTCAAATAAATAAAATGACCGACTTGTGAATTTAAATCAGTCAAATATCTAACAAAACAAAACAAAACAAAACAAACATAGCTGAGCAGGGCAAACACACAAAGTTGCATAATCACCACCTCTGCAAAGAACAATTTCTGAGGACAAGCCAAAAAGCTTTTGTTTTTAACCCTAGATGGCTCGGCACGCTGGCCAACGTGGCCTCCCAGAGGAGGAAGAGCCTGGGGACCCTGGGAAGCGTGCTGGTCCCCCGCGGGCTGTGCCTCCCGCTCCTGGTGTGCTGGCCACAAGACAGCAGCTAATAGATGACTTTCCTCTTCTGTGAAGCCACACTTAGGCTTTCAGCCAATGACCACATTGTACGGGTGTCCTTTCTAGCCCCACCCACTCCCCAGGATGAATAATCACCCACTTGTCACTTGAGACAATGCCGTGGGCTGAACTGTACCCCCAGATTCCTATGTGGAAACCCTAACCACCAGGACCTCAGCATGTGACTATATTTGGAGATGGGCCTTTAAAAGAGGTGACTAAGTACAACGAGGTCACTAGTGTGGGTCCTGATCACATATGACCGCTTTCCTTGTAGAAAGAGATCAGGACGCACACACAGAACACAGCTGTGTACAAGCCAAGGAGAGAGGCCTCAGAAGGAACCAACCCTGTGGACTCCTTGGACTTCAAGCCTCCAGAACCGTGAGAAAGTGTATCTGCTGTTGAAGCCACTCAGTCTAAGGTACTTTGTTATGGCTTCCCTGGCAAACTAAGACAGATGCACATCTAGAAGTTTCTCAAACATTTTTAGGTGACTGATGCTCCACTGTTTTCTGTGGACAGAAGGAACTGAGCCCTGACACACCAGTAGTTCCAGACTAGGGCACGTGCAATTAGGTGTCTACCAAAGGCCCTGGGAACAGGAGAGCATCAAAATTCTTGATCCAGTTCAGGGTGTGGTCACGTGTAACATACTGGAGGAAAAATCTCTCTGGCAATTCAAGGGGCAAAGGCAGACAAGGAGCAGGTGTATTACAGGAAATGAGTGCCCTTGCTCGGAAGCAGGGTGCCCGCTGAGCACCAGTCAGGAAGAACACCGCAGCCTGGAGGGACGCCAGCAGACTGCTCTGGCCGCCTCTCACCCTTCAGGTGCTGCTTTTAAGGAACAGGTAACTCCAGACACAAGGCCGACTGCATGGAAAGCATGCCATGGAAAGTATCAGAGAACACCTTAAGGTAGGTGTCATTTCATGAAGTGAACACACTTAGAGACATGGCTGAATCACGATCTGTGTTCTCACAGCTATGAGACAGGGGATTAGAAAGTCCACGAGCCAGCCAGCCTGTGTGACTCACAGTGACAACCAACCATCTCACAAGCCCATGTGATACAGTAATTTTTCAGTGACAATCTTGCCAAGGATGACAAAGGCCAACAGCAGACTGACCTGTTCTTGCTCAGGAGCTTCAGTCCCTCTTTGGGATGGCCAACGTCAAACGCCTGGTCCCCTCTCACCAGGCAGGCAGCAGTGCCGGGGGGACATGCACGCAACTGTGGACTGGAGTTCTTCAGCAAGTCTGTGAGACATTAAACCACATCATTTTATGCATCAGGAGCAGTGATCATGCTTAACCTTAGGCCCAGGGTCCCTTTTAAAAAATTATCAAATTTCTGAATGTCTCCACAAGTAACATAAGGTGGAAGTTTGCACACAAAGAAGAGCTGGGCTGACATCCTCTCTGAGAGCCTGGGCAAGCCAGGGCCTCCCTGACCATGGAATGAGCGCAGCACCGTCCCCCTGCTGGGCTCCAGCAGGTGCAGGGAGGACGGGAAGGTGCTCACTTGGCACCTGGTAAACAGGCACTGCTGTTGTTCAGAGCTGCAGAATGTATCTCCCTCTCCTAAAGGTACATTGACTTTAGGTGATCCCCTTTCAAGCTATAAACAGACCCAAAAATGCAGGGACTCCATGGATTGGTGAGAAGATGAGTAGATTTGCAGAAAGAACACACAGACAGTTCTGGGCTCCAGTGTTAGATCCACCGCTTACTATCTCTATAACTTTCACCTAACTACAGGATCCATCTGATGGACAATGCAATACCTCACAGATTAGGGGTACGATTAAAGAAAAGAACGTACTAAACGTGCCTAGACTACAGACTGCCACTAGCTAGCCATGATTAGCCCAGCTGGGTTTCCCTAACGCCATCATCATCTGCTATCTTACACATTATTGGGTTTACTTGCTCACTATGCATCCTCTCCCACTTGACGACAAGCTCCACTAGAGCGAACTCACGCGTGGTCAGGGCCAGTGCTGTAGTTCAGGGCCTACCACGAAATACACACTCAAAACACAGTTCGCCTGTGAATGAGTGTATCACCCAGCTTGGGCTTCTACTAAAGCCTTATCAAAGTGAGGAGGGTTACCCCACCTTCTCCAGTTTGCCACAAGGAGGCACCAGCTGATGAAAAGAAAAACAACCCTTTAGGCCTAAAGCCTGTATCGGGAAATTTCACTACTAATGGGCAGTTTCAGTCCACATCGCATATCCACTATACCCCGGACTCCTCAACTCATGGTGACACGATGTTAGACCGACAATGAAATGTGACGTAAGTGCCCCCGAGTGAGCCATTAGGCAGGTAACAGCAAATCTACAACTATTTGTGAGGTTTTAAGGGTCACTTTCAAACATGACTTAAGGCTCAGGGAAATTTCCTGGGGATGGAGAATGTACTGACAGAAGCTGGTGAACTGCATATTTTTTTTCAATTTTTCAATTTAAAATATTAGTGTGAATCAAAGCCACTGAAGCACAACTCAAACTGTCGGTAAATTAGAAAGAAAAAAACTTGCAGCTAATCCTCAAATGATTAAAAAAAGAAAAGACCCAGGAACTAAATGTTTTCAAACTAAAATGGCATATGACTTCAGAATTCAATAATCTACAAGACTTCTGCTTGATAATCAGATATGAGTTCCAGACCCACTGAAGATAAAGACTTCAAAGGAACATCAAAAGCTAACCCTGCAGAACAAAGCAATGCCATAAATAACCTGACACACAAAAAATCTAAAATTATCACCGGTCACTTATGAACCATGCATGTGGTATATTCACTTTTCAAAATAAAGAAATAAACAAAATGGTATATGATGTATATATACAACTCAGAGAATAATTTTAAATTACTATTTGTGCTATTTGTGTGCCTACTATCCAGCAATACCCTCATGTATTGATTTTATTATAAAATTTTTTCCAAACTTTTCTAAACCTGAAGTCCTATGTACAAAACAAGAACATTAAGGGAAACACTAAGAATGATTTATTATTAATTCCCAGAAAATTCACTCATGGCACACTCGCTTCTAGTACAGCATAGCAAGAAGACAAGTCTTAGCCTACATGGCTAACAATTCGTAGCCCCGGAAGGACGAAGGACGCATAAAGCCAGGTTATAGAAATTGCTGAAAGAACAAGGCAAGGCTTAGTATAACGTCTCAAGGCCTCTTTTTAGATAAAGCCATCTGCAGCCTTCAGTTAATTTAGCAAAGACACCCCAGTCTCTCTCACCAGTTCTGGTACCTACAGAGAAAGCCAGGCAAGAAGCCCGTTCCTGCTGAAATGCCCCAAGTCACCAGGCATCCTTCTCTCCCTTTCACCCACCCTGCAACTCAAAGCTAAGGGCCTTAGGGTTACACACCGCTAGTAGACAGCCCTCCTCACCAGGGTCCCTGGGAGCTCTTGACTCCACTCTGCTCCCTGAGCCCCCAGCACACCCATTCCACTCTCCCCTCTGTCTCGCTCCAAGTCAGGTTTACGTAAGACTCTTAAAACCCGAAGTGTCTGGCAGAGAGAACACACCAGAAGGGACCAATCTTCTTGATGGAAGTTATGATGGAATCAGAAGGGACCAGGGCAAAGGGGTGGGGGTTGTGCAGAGATCATCTTCCAGGACAAAAGCTTTCTTAGTGGGCTGAACCAGGACGTGGGTGTTCGATCAGGTAAGGGTGGATGGCCAAAGATATAGAAGCCTTCTAAGAAATCCCTCACCGCCACCATGCTCACACCCAGAGATTCAGACCTATGTCTCTACAGACGTTGATGAATAGAGAAGTGTCTGGGTCCGAGTCATCCACCAAGTAACCACCACTAATCTTGATCAGTGGATTTAAATCATGCTTCTTTAACTCTCCATCAAATGCATAGCACGGCACCTGGAAAGGAGGAAGGGAAAAAGTGAGTCTTCAATACATACTTTCTTGGGGCTAGGGGCTCAGCAACGCCTATGACCAATGTCAACACTGGTTTCTACCACTTATCAGGCCTCGATGTCCCCCGATGACAAAACAAAGCAAAAGTCAACAAGTACTTCATCTGCACTACACTGGGCACCTCTTCTTGCCTACGCAGGATGTGCTCCTGCAGTTGGCACCCCAACCTTCCCTCCTGCATCACTGCTGCCACCCCTACAATCCAGAGCTCTGTAGCCCCTAACCAGGCTTAGGACAATGCCTAGAATCTAAGAGGCTTGTGAAACACTTGTTCAGCGACATTTAAGACAAGTTCCTTGGGCATCTAATCCACCCTTACTGGGTTCTAATAATGTATGACCACTCTCTCATCTCTGTGAACTAATGGCCTCTTATTTTAAAATATCAAGGAACTCACTTCAGTTGGCAAGACCCTGTGCTTCAAAAGTTCTAACAAATCTAAGAGCAAAGCATTCAAGCCCAGAGATGTGCCCAGCAGTAAAAGAGACCCTAGTCTCTTGTGCCTAGTTGGCAGTATCTACTGAAATGCCTTTGTGGAAACACCCCCACAAGTCTTATTTCGGGGAATAATACCCTGCTATCATTTTAATTGCCCGTCCTAAAGAATATCCTAAAAATTCATGTTCTCTGTAATCATTTCAAAGAAATCTGTTTCATAAATTTCTATGGATAATTTTCCTAAATTTTGGCTTTTACCCATAGATACAGAGAACAGACTGGTGGTTGCCACAGGGTTGGGGAGGTGGGAGGATGGATGAAATAGGTGAAGGGTATAAAAATTAGAATGTTTGGTCTCTTGGTCCGGGCAATAGTCCCATGAGTGTGTACAAATGCCGAAACTCATCCAGCTGTAAATTAAGATGTGTGCATTTTATTAAACGTACTCTGTATCAATGATAAAATACAACTAAATAAAATTCTATCTTTTAGTCTATTCACAGGCAGTCTATTTACAAAAGTAACTGCTAGCATTTAGCTATCAAATTTGCTTAGGAAGATGCCAGCCAACCTGCAGGAGGCTCTGACCCACTAACCCTTTTATCCAGTCCTGTTCCTGGAGACTTCGTGGAGAGCTGATGGAGTAAATCAAACCATTTGTACTTCCTTGTAGGCTGCTCAGGGGACACATTAACTCATTTCAACAGGATACATATAACAAAGTGTTCTGTCCCTACCACACTGGTAACTTAGGCACTTGGCACCACCAGCACTGGTAGGGTACAGGTACCCGGAGCCAGCAAGGCCACAAGGCCAGATGCCAAGCCCAAAGCTACAGCGCACAGAAAGGCAATCACATTAATAGGTATAACTGCAGATCATGACTAGGTCCCAGTAAGAGTAACTAGCGTCCATAATCCTGCAGATCTGAAGGGTGTCATCATCCCCCAGGAAGGTAGTACAGAAACAGTAACTCGAGAGGTGGGCAACTCAGCTGGCAAGTTAGAATGGAAGACAAAAGCAACTCTCTGGCGATAAAGTAAAAGGAAGAGCATGCCGGCACACAGCACGGGGGAAAGACAGGGGCCACATGGGAAAGAACTTGCTCTAAAGTAGCTTCACTTCACCAAAAGGCTTGAGGGATTCCGGGAAGCAAGGCCCACAGACACCCAGCTCACGGCAGTTAGCAACTTCTGGCCAACTCTCTACTCCAAAAAGGAACAGAAGACACGCCCCTCACAACAACCCACAGAACTCAAGTGTGTGTTGGAAAAACAGTCAGGGCTCCTGGGGAAAGGCCTCCCCACTCCGTGCTCCACTGAGCAAAGCAGTGGAGACATTTCATGAGAGCAGGAATGTAGCCACCAGGGAAAGAGGTCGTCTGCCAGCCTCACACCCAGCACTGAATCAGCCTTGCTAACACTGTGTGTGCACTGACTGTTATTTCTGTACGTAACTCTGGTCAAACCGCAAGCATGACAGTTCTGAATTTTCCAAGACTGCTATGGTAGCAGATGTATGTCCACAATGTCTTAAAGGAATTATCTAACAACACCCTACCAGAAACCACTGAACAAATTTATACCAGTCATTTTTAAAGACACTGTTTGGGACTACCAAAGACGACAAAGCAAACTAACAAAGAAGCAAGGGGACCTCAGGTGTGGCAATCATGACTACAGTGACACTGAATAAAATCTGGATGTTTCCTGAGGGAATGGTGAGTGTTTAAAAGTAAAACATTTAACACAGTTTTTGAAGGTATACCAAAACCTGTAATGTGGAAACAAACCTCACTGAGGACAGAGAAAAGGAAATATGATTCATCATGATTTGCTAATATAACAGCATTGCCTTCTGAGCAGCCAGCCTGCTCTTCAGGGGTTCCTGTCTGATTTATCTGTACCTAAAGGCAGAATGGAACTCAGGTCGCGAAGAAGGGTATGCACGCTTCATTCCTATAGTCTATGGGCTCCCTGAAAGCAAGAATGCTTCCAAAATTTAACGAAATTCCTCTGCTTAGCCCACAACTGGCCCTCAATAAATGAAAACTATACAGATGAAAAAATAAAGCCCCAGCTACTGAGCAGACCTAAGGAGATGATCATTAAGATCAAACTGCAAAATTTCTCGTGCATCTTTTCATCAGCTTCTAAGAGAAATTAAATGTCACTGTTTTTGAGGAAAACAGACTATACCTAGCCACTCCCATCCCCCAAAAATGATGTAGAGCACAAGTCAGGCACACTTGTCTGTAAAGAGCCACAAAGTCAGTATTTTAGGCTTTGTGAGTGATGTAGACATCTGCTGTATATTCTTTGCTTTTTTATAATCCTATAAAAATGTAAAAACCATTCTTAATTCTGGGGATAAGAATAGGCTAGGGCAGGATTTGACCCACCAGCTGTAGTTTGTGACTTCTGACTTACTACAGAGTGCAGAGAAAACAATTTGCTATTTATTTATTTTGGCAAGCAGTTTTCCCATAGTCAGCTCAGCAAAACAAGGTAGGAGGGCAATCATTTAAGAGGGAAAAATGGGTACGACTAGCAGGTTGGAGACTCAGAGCCCACGAGAATACATGTGGGACCTAGAGATGCCCATTGTCCCCCAGGAGAGAAGGCATGCCTCTCTGTGGTTTATACAATGTATAAATGGCAAGCAATTTAACGTAAGTTGTAAGATGTCAAGTTTAAATTTCACACTACCTCTTGAATATTGGCATTATTTTATCAGGTCTTAATTCTTTGTACACTTTAAATCTGTTTCTCACTGATCATTCCTTTATGCTCTTTTCTGGGAGGCAGCATTTTGTTTCGTCACTTGCCTATCAGACTGTCTTTTCATTTACAGATTGACCATCAGTGAAAATGACTGATTACTCTCATTGTCAGTTCTAAGCTCCTAAGAAGAAGCATCTTTGAACTCAATCCTTCAGAACAGAAACCGAATGCAGGAAAGTAAGAATGATCAATCCACAAAAACTTCTGTCTAGGTGAACACAGAAAACCACCTTTTCAGATCTGGGGTGGTGGGAGGGGAGATGTGGCAGAACGAAACGCCTGCTCTCCTCCACTGCCAGGGAGAGCCACACAGTAGAGCCAACTTAAAGAGGTTCCGAGGTAGGGAAAAGGCTGCTTCATTAATCACCAACAATGACTAGACCAGATGCCAGAGGAAGAGTGGAAATAGTGATAGGCATCATCTAGTCTCTGAGGCGAACTGGCCTGGATTCCCAAGGCATCCGGAAGCCAACCTGAGGCTAAGGAGATGGCACCTGGAAGTAGAGTGACTAGTCTAAACCTGAGCTCCCCCATGTTACTGAATGAGCTGCACAGCACCAGAAATTAACTTGCCTTCAATGGGTAAGCCAATCTATTTCCATTCATATCCTGTGATACATTAAATGCCTTGTCCTAAAAGTAAGAACCACCCAGCCCAATTATAACAATTAACTCTCACAGCATCTCTGCTCATATGAAGTCTGAAAACTAAAAAGATTTTCACTCCAAAAAGTCTGAGCCAGTATTTCAAGTCTTAATTGTCCTGGAATGGGATTTTTGAGCATGTGACCTTGAAGTGCCTTTGTTACCTCTTTGTTAGCTTTAAATGTGTCCTTCTTGCAGGCTGCTGCCGTCCTCCACTCAAAGTAATGTACACAGCCTGTTGCTGTTACAAATTCTGGAGTTCCCTATTTTTAAAAAAAAAGTAAAAGTTACCATACTGCATGTTGTAACTTTTTTAAACTTAGAAACAGCAAATATTAATGAAAATTTTAAAAACAGCAACAAGAAGTGGAGGTGGGCGGTGGGGGTGGAGGGGCACCACAACTGTTGTAAGTTAAACAAAGTCGTCAAGAAATTCCCAAACCCAAAAATTATGAGATAGAAGCTTCATGAAATCATGTTGTAATTCTGGTGTAACTGGTCCAAAATTGTTCTACTGTCCCAGCTATCCAAGTACAGCAAACTCATGGGAAGTAACTTGGAGCTCCACTCTCAAACTCCAAATGTTCTCTTAACCAAATGCCAACAACATCAAAGCCAGAAAATGTAACCTCATGCTTCCTGTAAGGCAAGGAAGGAGGCCCATCTGGACCCAACAGAGTTCATGCACCAACCCTGCTTCAGACACCCACCCCCACACTCGAGGGCAGCCTCTCCTGACAAACCACGACCAGGGCTGACTCCAAGTTGGTCAACCACAGCACCGCTTGGTGACACAGGACATGGCAGAATTTACCTCCACACTGCTTGTGCAAATCTAAGGAGTTACTGCACGATTCTGGCTCTTATATGGTGAACACAGAATCCTTGAAGGAAATTAAAGTTAAAACAGCAGCCAGCTTTTTCTGCAACAGAGACCTACATATGTAAATACCACTGCAAACAGGTTTTTTCCTGAAGTTTCAAATATGGAAAATAATGCAACTGGTCCAAAGTTAATAATCTAAGTTATATTTTTAAAGTTCTTCAGATGAGACATTATGGGCCTGATGGTGCAAAAGCCACAGCACCCAATTCTAAAATGTCATTTTAAAGTAATCTGGCAGCCACAGGAGTGTCACTCTACCTGCTAAATTCTTGGGTTCTTACTCTATTTAGAGAATGTTCACAGGATTTGTATACAAACTGCTTTTCCCTAAAAGTTAGCCTTTCATTCTTTTGCTTTTGTTGTTTAGTTACTGAAGATCTTTTTCTAAATATTGAAGAATAAATCCAAGAAATCACATACAATAAGCAGAGTAAGAACAAACATCATGCTTTAAACAGTTATATCCCCTCTCAATACCAGTTATACCCAAAAAAGATTGGGAACCCCACTACCCACGAGCCAAGGTTTCTCTTACACAAATGTCCATCTCTCCAATTTAATGTGAGGAAGGAAAAAGTTTTTAAAAAAATAAACGCACTGCCCTAAGAACAATCAAAACTAAATGCTGGGAGAAGAGGTTTCGGAAAGAAAAGGAACATTATGCCTACAACATAAGCATTAAATAGTGCTTTGAGTTTTAACTCATTAATCCTTCGAATTAGTTTTACACAGGATATAGTTAAGTTTCAGTTAGAAGTTGTAACTACAGTCTTAGGACTTATTTACTTATTAGTTCTTTATAGTGATGGTGATTTGGTTTGGGGCTTCTGTTTTTAGTTTTGCTCACTTGTTCTTCCTGAAGTACTGCTATCAAGAACTCCCAAAAGACAAACATTTTTAACAAAAGGAAGACTATAAAATGACTGTGTGGACTCACCAAGGTTTTCCCACATAAGAAGGTGATGCTACTCTGGACTCTGTGATTTGTGCTTGGCTGTCCACAGCTCACTGTTGTGTTGAATTCCATAAGAGATTTGGTTGCACTTTTCAAAAGAGAGTCACCTATTTGGAAAGGAAACAAGCTATAAAACATAACTGTAAAGCTATTTCCAAGCACAAGCAAATTAAAAGTGGCACTATAATCTGAAGCCTTATAAACTTATGAACTGTCCCTTCCCCAGAATTCGCCATCCCGGAATGACATCCCCATTCAGCCCCAAACACATTGCACCGAGTCCTCTCTTTCATCTGCCACATTCTATACACCAGCAAGTACTATTGGTTCTCCCTCCATTTCAAATCCACCCACATCTCTTCGTCTTTACTACTATAAAAACCACTACCATCTCTCACCTGTACTTTGGGGCAAGAGCCTCCTAATTGGTCTCCTTTCCTCCACTCTTGTCTCATCCCTTACAATCTCCCTTCCCCAACCATCTTGCACCAATGTGACCTTCAAAACCATAAACTGGAATAAATAACTCAGTTACCCAAATTCTTCAATAACTTCCCATCATATGTGCTCTAAAATCTAAATGTTTGGAATGACCCGCAAGCAAGGTGAATAATCTCAGTTTGCCTGGAATATTACTGGCAATAATCCAAAATAAAGTCTATATATATCAACATGATAGTTGGATAAATTAACTTTGATAGATGTACAAAATATTACATAGAAATTAGAAGAAATAAGCCATAGTGAAAGACAACAATGTGGCTGATTTTTAGCAATATAACATTACCACTTATGCCCCAAAAGGTTACCTATAAAATGATAACACACTTTGTATAAGGTTAAAAATACCATACACACACACAGATTTGAAAGAGACACACAGAGTAAGGGAGGAATGAAATATAGATGTGAGTTAACAATTACTTCCAGTAAAGAGACAAGGGGATGGGGACCACATGGACAGTGGTTATTAGTTAAGTTCCTAGATTTTGTTAGAGATGGGGCTCACTACAGTATGCAAAACATATAAGCAAGAAAAAAGGTCAGTCCACGGATTAATGATGATAGCGATCATGAACTCGGAATTATAACTGGTGCAATTCAATACAAACACCTAAGAACTTCAAAAAGAGAAGAGGGAAAGGAGCGGGGGAGGGGTGATATTAAAATGCTAACGGGCTTCGGATCTCCCGCGGGGGAAGGGGTGAGAGGCAATACAGCGGTTCTTTACCCGGCCTGCCAACGTGCAAAAAGGTCTGCAGGAAACGTCATTCTCTGCCTGAAACCCTCGGGGGTGGTATCGAAAATCTTTTTCTCGCCGAAAGGGCACGGAAGCCACACTGAGGCTCCGGGACCAAGGACAGCGCCTGGTGGACAGCGCCCGTAGCCCCACCCGCCGTGGGCGTGCCTGGGGCCGGCAGGGTGGGGCTTTGGCTCGCCCCCGCAGCGCCGCGCTCCAGGAGACGCAGAGGGCGGGCAAGGCGGTGGAAAGCAGCGCGCGCTGCCGCCAGAAGGGGGCGCACACGGGGCGCGGCCCCCCACCTTGAAGACCCTCCCCCACGCCTCCTGTCCCCCCACTCAGCGGCCCATTCCGGCCCTGTGCCCAGAGCGTCTGGGGGCTCCTAATAATTGCTGAGCCCGCCCTGAAAAGGAAACAAGGAGGGCCCCAGCCTCGGGCCGGCAGGCATCCAGCCGACCACTAACAACGCGGCGCGGGGCCCCGGCATCCCTCAGCGCCAGGCCCCATCAACACCGCGCCCGCCCATCCATCTCACCTTGTACCTCTGCCCGCTCCACCCGGCTGTCGGGATCGGCTGCCGACCAGGGCACTCGGGGAGAGGCCGCAGCGAACCGCGGCACACAACCGCGGCAACCGGCCAGCCTGGCCGTCCTCCCCGGACGAGAGCCGGGCGAGGACTGCGGGGCCGCGGCCAGCACGCCAGGCCCACGGCCAGCTCCCGAGGACGGCGCCAAATGGGCTGGGCCGCGCTCGCCGGGCCCGCCAGACCGCGCCGGGTCCTCCAGACCGCGCGCCGGGCCCGCCAGACCACGCTCTCCAGGCCGGGTCCGCCAGACCAGACCACACTGGCGGGGCCCCACCCGACCAGACCGCGCCGGGTCCTCCAGGCCGCGCTCTCCAGGCCGGGTCCTCCAGACCAGGCTGCGCGCGCCAGGCCCGCCAGACCGCGGTCTCCAGGCCGGGCCCGCCAGACCAGGCCGCGCTCGCCCAGGCCCGCCAGGCCACGCCGGGTCCTCCAGACCGCACTCTCCAGGCCGGGTCCGCCAGACCGTGCTGGGTCCACCAGACCGCGCACTGGGCCCTCCAGACCGCGCACTGGGTCCTCCAGACCGCGCACTGGGCCCACCGGACCGCGCCAGGCCCGCCAGACCACACGCGCCAGGTCCAGACCGCGCTCTCCAGGTCGGGTCCGCCAGACCAGGTCGCACTCGCTGGGCCCGCCAGACCAGGCCGCGCTCGCCAGGCCCGCCAGATCGCGCCGGGTCCTCCGGACCGCGCCAAGCCGTGCGCGCCAGGTCCTCCAGACCACGGTCTCCAGGCCGGGTCCTCCAAACCAGGCCACGCGCACAGGGCCCACCAGACGGCGCTCTTCAGGCCGGGTTCGCCAGACCAGGCCGCGCTCTCCAGGTCAGGCCGCGCCGGGTCCTTCAGACCCTGCGCACCAGGCCCGCCAGGCCACGCTCACCAGGGCCCGCCAGACCGCGTCGGGTCCTCCAGACCGCGCTCTCCAGGCCAGGTCCGCCAGACCAGGCAGAGCTCGCCCGGGCCCACCAGACCAGACCGCGCTGGCGAGGTCCCACCAGACTAGACCGCGCCGGGTCCTCCAGGCCACGCTCTCCAGGCCGGGTCCTCCAGACCAGGCTGCGCGCACCACCGGGCCCACCAGACCGCAGGCTCCAAGCAGGGCCCGCCAGACCAGGCCGCGCTCGCCCAGGCCCGCCAGACCAAACCGCGCTGGCAGGGCCCACCAGACCGTGGCAAGTCTGCCAGACCTCGGTATCCAGGCCGGGTCTGCCAGACCGCGCCGGGTCCGCCAGACCACGCGCTGGGCCCGCCAGACAGCGCTCTCCAGGCCGGGCCCTCCAGGCCGCACTCGCCCGAGCCCGCCAGATCAGGCCACACTCACCCGTACCCGCCAGACCAGGCCACGCTCTACAGGCCAGGCCGCGTCAAGTCCTCCCAACCCTACGCACCAGAGGGCCCGCCAGGCCACGCTCGCCCGTACCCGCCAGGCCAGGCCACGCTCTACAGGCCAGGCCACGCAGGGTCCTCCAGACCCTGCGCACCAGGCCCGCCAGACCACGCTCTCCCGTACCCGCCAGGCCAGGCCACGCTCTACAGGCCAGGCCTCGCCGGGTCCTCCAGACCCTGCGCACCAGGCCACGCTCACCAGAGCCCGCGAGACCAGGCCGCGCTCCAGGCCTACCAGGCCTCGCTTGCAACCCACGGCGACCCCGGCCGAGCCCAGCCGAGCTCGCAACTCGGCCTCGCTGAGGCTGCAAGCCCTGGCGATCCCAGCTTTGCGGGTGGCCTCAGGGCCCACCGCGCGGCCACCAAGCCTCCCCAGCACCTCGATCAGAGCCTGTCAATCAGGCCGACAACCGTCTCCGTGCTAGTCACCGATGTGCTTCAGCAAGGCTTCCCTTTCTACCCACTTTCCCTTTATTGTATCGTGTCTTTTAACGTGTACTAGTCACATGTTATTTCACAAAATTTTAAAAGAATCCTCTCTGCCCAATTCTCCAGCTGCTGCCTCATTTTTCTGCTCCTCTTTGTATTAACACTCTTTAAAAGAGATTTCTATTCTTGCTACCACCAACTGCCCCTCCCATCAAGTGACTCCCCCTTGTTTCCCCATTGGCTGTTCCCCCAAAGCCACATGACTCACTCCCTCGGCTCCAAGTCTTTGCTCAAATGTCACTTTCTCAGCAACTCACCCCATTGAATATTTCTGAACACATACTTCTGAGATCCCCAGTTCCTCACCCTCCTTCCTTTTCTTTTTTACAGTATCAGGTCCTAAAGTACTGCTTAGCCATTGTTGTTTTGTCTTGTCTCCCACTGCACTAGAATGTAAGTTCCACGTGAAAAGGGATTTTTGTCTGTTTTAGTGACTGATTTGTTCAAATATTGTTATAAAAAAATAAATGAATATTAAGTGTTGGCTGTTTTAAAATGTAATTTCTACATAAGTCTTTTAAGATGTGACTTAACCAAGTAAATCAGAATAAAATGTATGTACTGAACCATCCCCATACAGTTAGGCTGCTCCAGCATATGTACCACAACTAACAATGTTACAAAAATATTTTTTGTACAAAAAATCTACGTATGATACTAGTTTCTCTACTAGTAAGATTTACAAAAGGTTAAAGAAAGTTGTTTTTAAAGTTTAACAGATACTGCCAGACTATCGGGAGAGACCAAACGAAACAAAAGCATTGAGTTTTATATAAAACTGAACCAAGTTATCATCTTAAATATCCAATAGGATCAGATAGTTTCAAGAAAGAAAAAGAATATAGCCTTACGAGGAAAAGATAGTTTCACATCTTTGAGATGCAAAATTCAATCTAGTCATCCACCTGGACAGCTGTCACATATTTCTCTGCAAATACACAAAAATCAGACAATAAAAATATCATCTGAAGTCAGGGTCAGGCTCTTTAGAGTAAATGATGCCACCTGACATAACTACAATCAGATTCACTGTGTCCTATCCAGGCACTAACAAGAGGCCGATCAGAATCCCAGGCTACTTCCCTAGTGGATACATCAGCCAGTTAAATGGGCTGATAACAGGCTTCATGAAGTGGACAGAAAATTTTTAACCCTTAAAAAAAATAATTAAAGCCACAGAATTAATATTTGAGATGTTAGGAAAAATGTGAACATACTATTTTTACGTATGTGCAATATTTAAGGTTATAACTCCAAAGGTTGTAACAGCAACTGACTTAGATTTGTAACAGTATTAGAACATTCAATAGAATTTCAGGTTTATCATATTTATAAATTTACTAAATTTATACGGATTATCACTGCTTAAATTATGTCATATCAGATATCTAAATATTTTAAAAGGAAATCAAACTTATAAAATGTATACATCATTTTAAAATGTGGTGAAGGTGATTCAACTAGGTTGTGAATGGAACCAAATGTCCTCCAGAGGCTCCGTAAAAAAAAGATTGCTAACCTGTTAAAGTCATACATACATAATTTGTGCCTAAAGAACATATGGTTTTTTTAATCAAAAATAACGTAATTCTGTTTAAACCAAAGTTGAGGTCTTAGTATCCATTTCTAAATACAAAAACTACCCTTGTGGGCACTATAAAACTCACATCAACAATTACCTTCCCAAAAGGGCTATAGAAAACCGTCTTCCCATACTCATACATGTACGTGCCCATTTCAAGGTCCTTGATAGCACTCTGTGATTCAACCATGTAAACTTGTGTCAATCTGACTGAAGAGTAATGAGATTTCATTATTGCTTTGATTTGCATTAACATCTGCTTTCTAATGAAGTTGTACTGACCATCTGGATTTCTTCTTTCGTGAACTGCCTGTTCTTAGACTTTGCCATTTTTCTCCTTGGGTTGATTCTTAACATTTTTATTAAGAAAAGCTCTTACCTCCTCTAGATTACATTTCTATTTTATGGTTTTCCCCGATGCTTTATTGTCTTGTTACTTTTAACTCAACAGATAAATAGGTTAACTACACCCAAATTTTTGGTCACATATAAAGTTCTCATATACATTTGGATCTATTGCTATACCAGCTCTTCTATTCCTCTGATCTACTGGGATATCCAATTTTTGAGGCTATTCTCAAAATTCACATTTTTTCTTTTCTGGCAAGTTCCTAAGAAGTTAGGTCCTCAATTGTCCTCTTAGGGCCAAGAGTTCAAATTTCCCATCATGGTTCCCATTTTAAGCTCTACAACTGTCTGATATGACCCTATGACTTATAAAACAACATGGCCCTGAGTACACTGGAGTTCAGCATTCTAATTCATACCCATGAACCCTGGTAAGCTGCTTACCCATTTTTTGCTTTAGTTTCTTCATTTATAAAATGAGGGAAATGAGATCACCTCCTCAAAAAGTTGTTGAATGAATTAAATGAGATATTTAAGAACAGAAAGCCTGGCACATAAGTACAGGACAAATTTAGTTATTTCTATTATAACACAAACTAGCAAAATTAGATTGGATTCAAAATTATCTCTATGTTACTATTACTGTAGCTCTTAGCACGCATGCCAGTTAGCTTTCTTAAGCTAAAGGACAAGGCAATGACATGTAGCATACCAGTCTGGGAAAAGTATCTGTCCTGTGTGTCTGGGAGTACAATAAAATTGCAAACTGCTGGTTTATATCATCATCAACCTGTAATGTAGCTTTTAACTCATCTGGTTACCTTAGCCTCTCCACTTTATAACCAACTTCTCCTATTTCATCAGGCCCAGCTTTCTAAAAATGCATTCTGTTAGATCACCTCCCCTGTTACCATCACAAAGAATCTGTAACAGAGCCACTGCCTACCCCAGAAAATATCAACTCTCCTGTCTGGCTTTCAAAGCCTGCCTAACTTGGTCATTCTCAAAGTCTGTCCAGCTATGCCAACTTTACATCCTCCTCCCAGTGACCCGTCTGCATTTGATAGCCACCTTGGTTACATTAGACCACACTATACTGCCAAAAACCAGAAAACACACTTTTATTAGCCAAAAAATATTATAGTTGAAGAACCTGCTTTTCCTCTTTCTGAAAACCTGAGCAGCCTCTCTCCCATGAATCATCAAAAGATTCCAGGAAACTGGTGACCTCATTTGTAAGATTTTTAAGTATATCACAAAAATAATAAAATTTGTTATGAACCAAGAGCTTAGAACAACCTGGTGCTTTCTCAGAGCTCTACCCTGGGCTTCAAATTCCTCTTACCAGTTTTCAGTCTACATAGTCTCCTGGTTGGGAGAGAGGGAAACCAGACAGGAGCTGGGACTCCACCATCAGACCTCGAAGACCTCACACAGACCCCGCTCTCACCTGCAGACCATTCAAACTGCTGTGGTCAAAGGTCACCACGGACATCCATGCTACCAAACCCAAGGACAACACTAGCTGCTTTTATGTCTGCCTATGCCTCTTTCTTTAGGCATCCGCCCCTTTTCTGCTTCCTATAACCCCCGATGGGGTTGCCAGTCCCTCGGACCCATTGTCCTCCACAGAAGAAAAGAATCCAAAAGAGGACATCTGGGGAGTGAAATCAGGCCTAAGAAAAAAAGGTTTGCACTTCCTGCTCTGGGATTGGTAGTTCTTAGGACCATTTAATTTTTAATGTAAGACTAAAAATCAAAGACCATCTTTGACCCCATATAGACCATACAGACTGCCTGAAAATCAAACTACCACAGAAGAAAGAAAGCACAAAGGGGATGAGGGAATAAGGCACTAGAGGAAACAGTGTAAAGGAAGGACTCTTTAAGGTCTCTAAGGAAAATAGGAGAAGGAAGAGCTGTATAGGAAACATCCTTCCATATCAATAAATACCAATGTACATAATTCCTCATAATGATTGACTACAGAGTATCCATCAGATGGAAATAACCTAATTTGACATCATATTGGATATTTAATAAACTGTAACCACTTTTAACCATCGTAATATGTACAATGTATATGTCATGTGCATATATGACTGTGTAGATACACAAACATAGTCATTTTTGCAAAGCTGGGATCCTGCACAGCCAGTAATTTAAGGGTAGTTTTACTTACCCACAGAATGATAGCTGTTGGTCTTCAAGTCATGCATACAAATAGCACTTGATGGCCCACACTGGGCAATGTCCACATTTCCACAGATGCTGATTTTATATAGCATCTTATTTTGGGTATCAACAGCTTCCCATGTGTAACTACAAAGCAAGAAAAACAATTTGTCACTGTCACTGAACTGCCAGTAATTAAAGTTATCTCTAGTTTTACATTCAAGCCACATTTGCTTAAGACTAACTACCACATACCCAGAGGACACATTTTCATTAGCCCAAAATACTTAAGTCAAACTATATTAAGTAGAAGCCAGGATAGAAACCACTAAACACCACCTTACTCTGGTTTAATCTACCCTGAAGCCATGTCAGGACTCCACAATCATCAAAAAGCTTTAAAATCCAACCATTACGAATATCAACTCACATTAAGTATTGCTTAAGAACCATGTTGAATCTCAGACAGTAACCTTTCCAATCACAGTGGAATGCTGAAAAGCCAAAGCATTCTTTTTAAGTATTTCATTTAAGAACTACATATGGCATCAAAGACAGATCTACTTCTGGTTTTGCCTTTTACAGCTACAGGTCAGATCTGGACTGACAAGATAAAACTGCAATGAGCCAAAATGAGACAAAATTTACTTAGGCTGACCACTACATTGAACATTTTACATGCATTAAAACTCATTGTTTGGACTTCTGGCAAAGGAGATAACAAGTAGTTATTAAGCAATCCATCTCCCTACTTAGGACAAAATAATGGTTTGTCAGTTCTGCCAAAACAATCATTCTCAATTCCCTACCCTTCCCAGATTTTGTCCATTTTGTAAAATGGGGGTCACTTCCTCAGCACAGGGAGACAGGAAATGAGGATAGTGACTAAAAAGTTCCTTGCAAAATGCAAAGGTACTGCATCATTCAAAAGTATTGCTGAAAGGAAGGAAGGAAGATAGGTCAGAACTGCTCAGGTTCAGCCTACTCCAGAGCTGTGAAGGACCAGGGAGAGACCCTGAGGTCACTAAGCCCTGAGACACTGTGTCACAGGGATTTCTCTCCCCAAAGCAGTCCCCTTGGTGACAGAAAGCACTCCTGCCCATAATTAACAGTTTGATGGAGAGCTCCCTCTCCCCCCCGCCACAGGCTTCAGGGCAAAGACTCAGCACAAAACACCAGGCAGCACCCCCCTTCCCTGCCGAGAAGCAGTCTCCCCAGAAGCCCCATCCAGTGATAGAGGAAGCCCAACAGGAGGGGTGTTGGCAGGCAAGGAGCCAAGCACTCTCCTGAATCCAGGTCTGGGGGCTGATCAAATCCATCTGCCAAGTAGAATAAGCACGCATATGCATTCAGGCAGGGCGGCAGGCATTCTGACAGCCACTTAACTAACTGCCAGAAACCTGAAGAACAGGCTGGTGTGCTTATTAGTAAGGGCCCGGCCTTGCAGTCACACCAGGCTCAAAAGCAGTTACAGCTGAATTCAGCTTCCTGACCAGCAACACCTTGGCTTTATCTCCTGCATTCAGGAGGGGGAACAGCACACAGGAGGAAATAACCCAAGTATTCACCAAGCACGAGAAAGTCATCAGTAAAGGCCTGTTTCCTTTGGCCTTCACTCATGTTTATTCATTTTCTTCACAAATATTTCCTTAGCACTTACTGCGGGGGCACTGTGGAGAACAGCAATGATCAAAGCTGACCCCAAATCTCCCTGCCCTCCGGGAGTGTATATTCCAGGTCAGAACAGGAAACAAACAGACAAACACACACAGGCCAACTCCACCCAAGCACCCATGCGAGCTCTGACAAAGACAGAACAGCATAACGTGGCGGGAAATGACCATGTAGCTACTTTAGATTGGGAAGTCTTCAGAGGTGATATCTGCCCTGGGACTTGCATGACAAAAAGGAGCAACCCAGGGGGCGACACGTAGGGGGAATATTCCAGCAGACTGCTAGCCACTGCGAGGTCCTGAGGTGGAAAGAACTCAGCACACTGAAGGAAAGGAAAGGAGGGCCATGTAGCTGGAGCCAGGTGCACAAGCAGAGCAGCAAAGGATGAGGTCAAGGAGATGGGGTCACCTGGCCACACAGGAGCTTTGCCAATTTTAAAGGAAGCAGTTTTGATTTTGTATTTGAAGCAAAGGATGGCCACTTAAAGACTCTTATGAATTTTTCCTTAAAATTTTAAGCTAGTGTTTTTATTTGCATGGTACTAGTAAAATTTTGCTATTAATTACAGTTAATTAAGGAAAAATGCTAATCTCTAATTCAGGAGCCATGGTTAAGTTTTCCCAGGATACCGGACATCAAATTTAAAACCTTAACAGTGACTACTTGCGACCAATATAATATTGTACATAAACTATACTTCAATAAAAAAAAAAGTGGCATCACTAAAATGTTTCATAATCCTAAGCATATGAGAGAGAGTACCATTTTAGGATGAGTCTACAGGCAGGAATCAACTCTAACACAGTACCCCAAAATGTTGTGCTTTTCTTAAAAACAGAAATCCACTGCTGTTTTTGCAGAGCTGATGTTTAAATAAGTTTGATGCAAATAAAAGAGAGTAAAATGAGGATATTGTCCCGATTACCTGGAAATCAGGGTCCCTAGAAAGAAAAATGCTGCTCTATTTAATTTTCTTTCTTTTCTCTATTTGCACTTCCTCTTTGCTTTGGCAAGATTTATCAAAATGATAAGTAGTTACGGGAGTAGGGAGGGATGAGCCTATGAAAGTACTGGAGTACTGTCTTTCCATCAGGGGGTTGGTTTACCCACTTACCCCAGGGTAGCCCCTCCAGGCTGGAGCCTTCAATGCCACTCACAAACCCAACCTGCAGCCCTTGGGTGGGGAGTCCTTATCACATCACTTAAAAAGAAAGCAATGACCGCAGCATGTTTCTAAATCACACTACCAAGGCCTCTGCAGGCCATCAGCACTGGAAACAGTCTGATTCCAACAGGCATGTCTACTTTAAAACAAACTCAGCATGCCAATCTAGCGCCTGGTTTCATTAGGAGCCCAGGAATAATCATACCGTTGAAATAATCTACCTGAAAACTCTTGAAGAATATTCCAAAAACTATTGTTCATGCTGGTATGTACCCTCATTAAATTAAATTATTGTCTAGATATGCCTTTGCTAGTGGTGAATATTTTTTGGACTATCTCAAGATAAACTTGAAAGTCATATAAATATATATCTGATGGTACTTTTAAGAAAATTAAGTGTCTGAAACCAGATTATTCTAGACTCCTTGCTAGATTAAAGGCCAAGCCACCAGAAAGGCCTAGCCTGAAATCGTATTTTAAATTTAACATTTAAAAGCACCATGATCACATTTGAGAGCCAAAAAATGGTTTATGAAGCAATAAAAGTATTATAGACAAAATAAAATTTAATACTATCTCTGAGGAACAGTAAACACTTTTGTCCAAAAGCTTGTCCGCTAGAAAATTCTCTACCTGACGTGAACATGTACAGCCAAAATTAGGAAACTCAACAGAATGATTCACTTAGCCAAACGAGACCATTCAGCTGAGATTCCCAGAAAAGTCTACCTCAACTAACCTACTGAGCTTACACAAGTAAAGACTTAAGAAAACAACTGACAGGAGAAAATGAGACCAACATACTTGATTCAAAGAGAAAACCAAGCTGTAAGAGTAAAATTTTAAATTTCAGCAAGAAAGAAACCCCTGGAAGAAAATATTTGCAAGATGTGTGAAAATGTAGTCTTCACTCAAATATACACACGTGAATGTTTCAAATATATTTGCTATGTAAGGATCTCCTGAAGCAGGACGGGGTTCCCAGTGGGCATTTTCTTGAAAGTCTAACACCCGTATCAGTGTCAAGTCTTCCAAACGCCTCTATGGCTCTATGTTGTCCTCCATGTCTCATCTGAGGGAGACCATAAAGGCCCAAGGAAGCAGCTGGTCAATGAGAACATCACCCAGAAGTCCTGCCTGCTGCCCCAGCCTCACGAAATTCAGTTACCATCCTTGGAGGAAGTGACCCATTCCTAGTTAGAATCGCTCTTCTGGACACAAAACAATCTGTGCGAGAAGTCTGGCACTGAAAGTCAGCAAAAGCAAGGAAAATCCCTGCCATCCAACCTCATTTTCCAGAATGTACGATGCAGTTAGCCGATGTCCACCTCCTACTCTCAAAAATCCAAATCCATGTCAAAGCAAACCTGACTTTGGGTCAGGAGTGTCGCTTTGGGGTCAAAGCCTCGAAGGCTCGGAAAGATCAGGCCCCTTGCCCAACATCACACAGTTATGAAATGACAAGGCTAAGAATAAGATCAGGTCCTCCTGAACTCCAAGGACAAGTGCTTAAGCACTGAAGAAACCGCCTCACTTACTTTCAGTTCTTAGAAAGACCTTAACTTTTCAGAAAATATTTAGTTTCAGTTACAACACTGAAACTGGCATAGCAGTCCACATAACTTTATAGAGTTTAAATCACAATAAATGCCACTAAAACAACAGATTCTGTATTGCATAAAGACTTCCACATCATCTGAGATGGCCCTGAGGAGAAGCTGTGAACCTGAGGATCCAAGCTCTCCCCTGAACAGCAGCTCGCATACTTTTTCTGGCTCAAGTTCTTCCCCCAGTTTTAAGCTTCTACTGCTCTTTACCCCCACCATCCAGTTCTGCTTTCTCTTTTGTACAGTTTGAATTGCCAAACAGCAGAGGCACCGCCTTCTGCAGTCTCTCTTCCCTCACTCGACTGGTTTCTGTGGGAAGAACCAATTCCCCCAGCCCCTCCTTCCCATCAGCCACCCTTGCCTCACTTTGTATCCAAGCTGGCTGAAGATGCTTCCAAGAAGGAACACATCTATATTGTTTTCCTCATCTCAGACTCCCTCTCCTTCAAAACGTCTACTTAGCAGAGGGCTACCTCTCAAAAATCCCCAAGTCCAGTAGTAAGCATCATTAGTAACTTGGAAACATCCTATAAAAAGCCAGCAGGTCCACACAAGGCAAATGACTTTAAGAGATCTCTGACTTTAATGTGAATTCTGCAGATGGAAGTACAGCATTGGGAATACAGCCAATAATACTGTAATATCTTTGTATGGTAGCTACACTTATCATGGTGGGCATTTAGTAATGTACATAATTGTCA